CCCCAAAACCCCAAAACCCCGCTATAAATTATTCTGAATGTTAATAAGAATATAAAACCTAAGTGATATTATTATTTTAAATGATTTGGGTTAAAGGATTAATTTAATTACATATTCAATTTGAATCTTAAACATATTCTTATGATGCTTGCGTTTTTTTTTAGTTTCTTTTCACCCATTTTTACAGATAGAATTGATGTTCAATCAAACAAGACCTTGTAAATTTCAAATTCAAGAGCCTAGAATTTTTCACCACCTGATAAATACTTCTTCTTAAAATCTTCATTATTTTATTGGCCAGGCAAAGTTTGATATTCATAACCTAAATGAGCAAAACTTTCTTATTTATTCATACAATTATTTAACAAAGCTAGGCCAGAACTTCCAAAAGATAGTATTCTATCTTTGTAAGAGCATACAGAATTTTCAAAACGATCTATTTGTCTAAATACCTTATTATTTGATAAACTAAATAAAAATGCTCTATCATCATTATGACCACTCTACTAAAAGCCTCCGCTATGTGGTCCATAACCATGACGATCTTTTATCGATTTTGAAATGTAACCTCCAAAAACTTAGTTATAATTGCTTAAAATAAAGCAAACAATTGCTCCTTGTACTCTTAAATAGGAGAATTGATTATCATGATTTTTCCACTCATGTTATTTAAGAGTTGATCCTTGTTATAATAACTTAAACGATATTTTGTCTACTTTACTTATATTTTTACTTAGCAAATTTCCAATACCTGAATTTAATTCCAAATCAACTAATCATCTAAATTCTAGATAAGCATCTTTTTATTAAGATAAATGATCAGGAATCTTTATTTGATTTTCTATCATCATCTCTTTTTTTTCCTCTTCTTATAAATTAAATTTCTATCGATAAGAATCTCTAAAATATTAATAAGAAATATATTCATTACGAAAAAGGCTAGATAAAGTCTATTATTTCAAACTTATCTCTCAAATTATTCTTAATTTGCTCATCAATCTAAGAATGCTACAATATCTGCATATTTAACTTGATCAGATCCTATAATTATGAAACAGTAAAATCTCTTTCTTTCATTATGAATTGCTGGTAGTTATCCAAAAGCTTTTCTATCTTTACAATTTCTTGTTTGAGAATAGGAATCATTTTTTAGAATGAATCTTCAAGATATCCTCTTTAAAATTCGAAATGTCTAGTCTTATCTGTGATGTAATGAGAATGTGGGTCTATAGCTAAGCATTTGCTACAAACAATTTTGTTTAAGTCTTTGCAATAGACAAATGCGCTTTCATTCTAATGCTCATCGCACTTTATGTTATAGTAGTCGAATTGCTAAAGTAGCCTTATAATGAAAGCAGATGGTTGGATTTGCACCTTTTTATCGAAATGATGAGAGTTGTCAAAAGGACATGAAATTTGGTTGTTTTAAACAGAATCCTTTTGCATTGAGTAGCATTGTAGACAAATGGCATCAGTACAAGGCAAAGCAATCGGCTTTCTTTCATTGAGGTTGTAAAATCTGTTGCAACTAAAGCACATCATCATTTAATTTTGAAGATTCATTTTTGTTTTATATTTAATAACTAAATTTTTTTAAATAAGGCATAGCGGGGTTTTGGGGTTTTGGGG